AGCCCAGAAGAGGGCATCAGATTCCATTATAGATAGTTGTGAGCCACCATGTGGTTCCTGGGAATTGAACTCAGGACCTCTAGAAGAGCAGCCAGTACTCTTAAATTTTGAACCATCTCTCCAGGCTTCAAGCCCATCATTCTTAATACTCACAACAGTTACACTGCACTGAAGGTCTCTGAGTCTGGGACATTCTTAGTGAGGAGTTCTGGCCTCCTTTTCTTCAACTTTTCTTCAGTTCAAAGTTTTTGGGGCTGCTAAGCATGCTTTCAGCTTAGGCATATATTATACATCTATTTACAGCACTGGCAATGCCCGTGTCTAGCACAAAGTGAAGTCAAGAGAAAAAATTCATCTAGTTCCTGAGACCCTTGATGATTAAGGAACTACCATTCTTCACAAAAGGGTTATTGAGATTGTAACCTGAGTAAAAGCTTCAAGGTCTGTTTGTGGATAAGAATACCTGATGTCCAAGGAAAAAGGAGAGCAGGATGCAATACATCTCTTTCCTTAGAAAAATGAGTATCCCAAAGATTTCCACCTAAAGATGGCAGAGCATTCCTAGAACTCTTATGCCGGAAGCAGAATCTTATTTAGTAAGCTCTTTCTATTCAGACTATATTAATATAATATAAATGTACAACTAAGTATGTGTTATAATTAAGAACACATAATGGCTAAATATCAAAGATTTATTTAATAAAGAATTCATACAAGTTTATGTTGGGCCACACATAGGTTGTTTAAATTCAATCTTCTTCATTAAAATTTGCTCAGTTTCAATCCTACTATGTTTGTGCAAATGTATCCAATTCATTAATATTATGCATATTACGATGGTTAAAGTGATGATGATGGTGGAGGTGGTGGTGATGATGATGATGGGCCAGTGAAATGGCTGTATCTGCCAAGGTGCTTGTACCAAGGCTAAGGACCAGAGTTTGATTCTTGGGACCCATATAGTGGAAGGAGAGAAGCAACATCCACAAGTTGTCCTTAGGCTTCCACATATACACTGTGATATACACACACACACACACACACACACACACACACACACAAATCCAATGAAATTATCTTAAGAAATAGTGATGGTGCCCAGCAGTGGTGGCGCACACCTTTAATCCCAGCTCTTGGGAGGCAGAGGCAGGCAGATTTCTGAGTTCGAGGCTAGCCTGGTCTACAGAGTGTGAGTTCCTGGACAGCCAGGGCTACACAGAGAAACCCTGTCTCGGAAAAAAAAGAAAGAAAGAAAAAAAAAGAAATAGTGATGGTAATGACAACCCATTGTTTATTGAATGCATGTGGTGGGTCAGACTCTGTTCTAACTTCTTCCAATTTGCTTTCATTTGCTTCTTACAATTATACAACGATGGCATCATCACTGTGCACAGGAGGAGGCAATCCTAGTCCTGGAAGTGATCAGAAACTTACCAAGGACACACACCTTGCAGGTGGCAGGGCAGGATTTGTCTTCTTTGCACTTTTCGGGAGCCAGCAAATGATGGATCTTCCTTCCACCAGTCAGACCCTTAGCCCTTCGGATCCTGGGCTACGAGCAAGCAGCATTTCCATTCTATCCCGCCCATTTCATCCTTTTCCACTCCTGCAGTGATGCCACAGGCATTCTTTAGCATATATTGATGCACCCCACACACATGCTGTGGTACCCTGACTTCTAGGTATTATGCCCCCTAGGGAGTGCTTGGATCAGGAGCTTAGGAACCACAGAACTGTCTCCTTGAGGGCTAGACAAGAGGTGATGTCAGTAGAGGGTAAGCCTGAGGCACTGGGGGATAGGTTGTTGGCTTTTTGGGGTCTGGTGTCTCAGGAAGAGGAAAGATGGTGCCAAGAAAGAACATGAAATTAGGGTCAGACAGAGCTGGTAGCAGTAACTTCAGCCTGGAGGACCCTTTTCTGGATCCCCTTCACAAGGGAGTGGCACCATTAGAGACCAAGATAGTAGTGTGGTGGTGCCGGGGAAGCTGGGGCACCAGCCCCAAGACAATCCAGAACCATTTCTACTTAGAAGTCCCTGGACCATTCTCACATGAAGTGTGGCCACCTGCATGAGTGTAGTTAGTGACCTGGCTGCTTGCTCAACTCAACCCGTTATAACACTGTTCATTCCTGGCTGTCCTCTTGCATCTCTCTGCTTTTAGCTTTCATTATGAGTTCATCTCTTTGTCATATCCCATTACCACTCATTCTCTTCAGATGGCTTCTTTTTCTCGCTGCACTCAGAGACCATCCCACCCCTCAGAGTCAACTGTAACTTAGAGTCTCTCAGCATGACTCTTTTGAGAGCTTACAGCCCCCAGTGCCCCAGTGAGAGGTCTCTCGGTCTCTTCTTCAGGTCCCTCACACTTCAGGTCCCTCACACTTCAGATCCCTCACACTTTAGGTCCTGTCTGTAGTAGAGATTGTGAAGCTGCCTCCTATTCAGATCCTCATTCTACTCGCGTATCACACACTAGCTTTCCTGCTTGCCTTACTTAATGTATTGTACTGTCAGTGTGATTTCCTGCAGCTCACCTGGACCCTTGCAATTACCCTTCTGACCACTTCAGACTCAAGTTACCTCTTCATCTTTGCTATCACATATCCTGACTTGAGCAATGCTCTTCATAACGCATAACTCTCATCTGATGCAGCTCAGAAGTCTCCAGTGGCCTCTCATTGCTCAGAGATACAATCTGGGTTTCTCTCCCTCCTCTCTTGCCCCTCCTCCTGTACCCACCACCTCACGTCATCTTGCATTGCACAGCCTTGGTATTTGAAGCACCATGAATACCCAATACCATGACCTCACACCTTCACGTGCATTTCCTTTGTTCAGAATGGTCTCTCTGTGCCGGTACATTCGATATATTCTGCCTCTTCTATTGAATGCCAGCTGAAAATAGCCTCTATAAGATCTCTTCTAGGGAAGACTTAGCTTCCCCTTTCCTTGTGTTTCCCCAGCAACTTATAGAATTGTTTTATTGAGATTCTCTATTAGCCCGTATGTCTATCTTACACTTTGTAAGGTGCACACAGAGGAGGTGGGCAGGTATTCTGACTATGTCTTTCCTCCTCTTCTTCCTCTTCCCTGTCCTCCTCCTCCCCCTCCTCCTCTTCCTTCTCCTCCTCCTCTTCTTTTTCAAGACATATTTTCTCTACATAGCTCTGGCTGTCCTGAAACTCACTCTTTAAACCAGGCTGGCCTTGAACTCACAGAAATCCACTTGCCTGTCTCCTGAGTCCTGAGATTAAAGGCACGTGCCACCACTGCCCAGCTGTTTTTCATTTTGTAAAAAAAAAATGGTTTATTTTTCTAATTAGTTTTTAAGTGTGCTTATTCATGCATGCATGTGAACGCACATGCCTGTGGAGATCAGGAAGGCCAGGTCTCCCTGGAGCTAGAGTGGTGGGCTGCCCATTGTGAGTGAATACCCAATACCAATAACTGGGAGTTGAACTTGAGTCCTCTGCAAGAAGAGTACCCAGTCTTAACTGCTGAGCCATCTCTTCAACTCCATGTCTTTAGTTTTTCTATAGTGTCAGATAACACATCCAGTAGGGCATGGGTCAGAATTTAGAAATGAGTAATAAGCATACATCTTACTAAGTCTATTCAGGCTCATGTAACAAGATTACTGTGCACAGAGTGGTTCATGAGTGTGAGGATTTGGTTTCTCACAGTTCTAGAAGTAAAGATTCCAAGATCAAGGTATTGGCAGATTTGGTGTCTGGTGAAGGTCTGTTTCTCATAGATGGGACATTTTCACCATGCCCATTATATGATGGAGGGAAAAGGGAATGCTCAGGTCTCCTTAATTAGAGCACTAATCTTGTTTGTGTGGTATCCACTTTCCTAAGGCCAACACTTGAGGGGTTAGGATGCTAACAAATGAATTCAGGAAGACATGAGCATTTAGACAACGGCAGTAACCATTGCCTACTTTATGGAGTAGAGCATGTTCAGTTCTGCAGGACCCCCCCCCCCCGGGTCCTGAACTGCTCATTGCCAAGCTATCTTGGTTTCTATGGTAACTACCCTTCCTTTATACTCATGTTACCATGTGAGCATCCTAGGACATGACAGCTTAGTTCTCCTGGTTCTTGAACCTGACACAGGTGTGAACATGTGCATATTTTGTTGTACTCTTTTTTTTTCTTATGTTGTCTTTGTGAGAGTCGTCCATGTTACATGTGGTTAGTGTCATCTTTGTGAGAGTTGTCCACGTTACGTGTGGTTACAGGTCTTCCTTTGTATTACTCTAGAGTAGTACCTTGTGTTAGGAGTATTCCTCATACGCTGTTCTGTGATGGGATATTTGGCTTATTTTCAGTTGAGGACTTCCAGGATGGTTAGTATACACCATGAGTTTCTTTGGGGGTAAAAATCTGGGATGGAACTACCTGTCGCATGGTGGGTTATACCAGGTAATGACAAACTGCTTCTCAAAGTTGGTCCTACTGTTTCTAGTCCTCCACTGCCGAGAGTTTGCAGCACTTTGACCAACACGTAACATTACCAAACTTTACCAACATGTGACTTTTGGATGTTCTCTTCGGTGAAGGGCCAATTTAAATTTTGTTCACCTTTTTCATGAATTATTTGTCCTTTACAAAGGTATTTGTTGTATCTTTTGGATTTAAATCCTTTGATCCTTTGTCAGTGTTTGTTGAAAGTAGTATACTGTAAAATTACACATTCAATATTTATGAATTAGAGTAATTCTGATTCTTTTTTTTTTTTTTTTTTTTTTTTGGTTTTCCGAGACAGGGTTTCTCTGTGTAGCCCTGGCTGTCCTGGAACTCACTCTGTAGACCAGGCTGGCCTCGAACTCAGAAATCCGCCTGCCTCTGCCTCCCAAGTGCTGGGATTAAAGGCGTGCACCACCACCGCCAGGCTCTGATTCTTTACCTTAGGACTGACTGATGAACAAACAGAGACAGAACAACTAGAGGGTCCAGGGTAGTACAAGTTAACCCTTTCTTCCTCCTCTTTCCAGGTGTCATCATTGTCCCCAGCGCTGGTGTTGGCATTGTCCTGGGAGGCTACATCATAAAAAAACTGAAGCTTGGTGCAAGAGAATCTGCAAAACTAGCGATGATCTGCAGTGGGGTGTCCTTGCTGTGCTTCTCAACTCTGTTTATTGTTGGATGTGAAAGCATTAATCTAGGAGGCATAAACATCCCTTATACAACGGGGTAAGTGTCTTTTAGGAGCACCCTGAATCATCGCCCTGCATCAGTGGGAGGGGAGTGCAAGCTCTGGGCGGTCCCACACAGCGGCCGACTGTCTCTCCCTCCCATCCTCTTCTTTATGTGCTCTGTCTCTGGAGCTGGAGCTCACGAGCCTAGAGAGTGGAGGCCAGAGGGGGTTGGCTAGAGGGTGTCATCTTTGTCTGTGTCCCTTTCAGTCCTCACAGAGTGACCCCCATGGCATTTTAACTACACGAGACTAGGAGGAGGTGCTTATTTTATTCATTAAAATGTTTTTTAAAGTGTGCTATTCATAATGAGCGGAGAGGTAGCTCAGTCAGTCACCAGGAACTAAGTTGGAGCCCTAGAACCCATGTAAACATGGCAGATGCAGTGGCACACACTTGTAATCCCTGGGCTGGGGAGCCAGATGTGAGAGGATGCCTGTGGCTGGCCAGCAAGTCTGTCTGTGGGCCCTTGGCTAATGTGAGACCATTTCAAAAATGAAGATGGAAAGCTCTTGAGGAGCAGCACCTGAGCACATGTGCACATGCATCTGTACATACATGTAGTCATGTGCACACACAAATGTACATACATGTACCCACACGAACCTGCACCGCCACCAACACCCATCAAGTGTGTGAAGTACAATGCACTGTGGAGGTCCTGAGTCCCCACTCCTCACATTTCCAAATTAGACTGGATGATTTCTTTGATTTAATGCTTTTTCATAGTATACATTTTCTTTGTTTTCCCTCCCCAAACCCCTCCCAGATCCTCTCATCTTCCTACTCAGCCAAACTCATGTTCTTGCTCTTAAAGAAATCAAAACAAACAAACAGTAAGACAAAAATCCCAGAACAAAACAAAGATCTCATACAAAACCAAAAGTATGGAGTACGATTTACGGTGTCCAACTGTTCCTGAGCATGGGGCTGCCCTGGACTGTGCCTGATAGACCTGGAGAGACTTGACTGGGAGGACTGAGTTCTCTCTCCCAGCACATAGCAATTGCACATAGCTTCTTGGTTAGGGATGGTGAAGACATCTCACCTTAGAGTGAGTGCTCCAAAGTCTCTCACTCTCTGCACACTGTCCACTTGAGAGTCTCTGTGTTAATTGCCATCTACTGCAAGATGGAAGTTAACTTATCTCTGCTGAAGGTTGACCAAAACACTGATCAATGGATATAGCAATATATCATTTGGAATAATTTTATTGCAATTTTTCATTAGCACAGTAATAGTAGCAAGTTTTCCCTTAGGCTTATGTTCTATCTAGTGTCTGGGCAGTTTAGCAGTGTCAGGAATGGATTCCATCTCATGAAGTGGGCCTTAAACATTTATTTTAAATGTTTAATAATTTTTTTGTTTTTTATATGAGAGCTCTGTCTGGATGTATGCCTGTATGCCAGAAGACAATATTAGATCACATTATCACATAACCAAAGTTAAGAGCTGCCATGTGGTTGCTGGGAATTGAACTCAGGACCTGCAGAAGAACAGCCAGTTCTCTTAGCCACTGAGCCATCTCTCCAGCTCCGAATCTAATTTTGAAAAGTGGTTGATTGCTCCTATTAACATTTGTGCCACTTGCACCAGAGGATGTTACAGGCAGATTGCTGGTTTAGGTCATAGGGTTTATTAATGATTACTTTCTCCTTAGGCAGCAGGCAGAGTACCTTCCAGCATCATGAACACTAGTTAGCAGGAGTGAAGCTTGTAGGTGGGCACCAGCGAGGTCTTCCTGAACTCAATAAGTGCTGTCTTCAGCAATCGGGCCATCAGGTCTTGGAGAGCAATAGCCTTGACAATAGCCTGTGACATTTGAGGGAGGAATGACTCAATAGATGTAGCTGTGTAACTGGGAATTTCACTGGTGGCATAAGGTGTTTAGTTGGGGCATTGTCTACTTCATTATATGGTAATTTCACTTAAATTCTTACATTTATGTACAGATTTAGGGAGCTTCTACAGTAGTCAGCTTCTGGTGTTTTTATCAAAAGACCTTCAGTGTTAATTGCCTCCCCCATATTTCCTCTTTAACTTGTCCTCCAACTCTCTCATTATTTAATCCTCCTAGTTTAGTTTCTTTCTTATCTTTTAGTAATCTATATTGTTTTCGCCTTGCCTTGCCTTGCCTTGCCTTGCCTTGCCTTGGCTTGCCTTGCCTTGCCTTGCCTTGCCTTGCCTTGCCTTCCCCTTCCCCTTCCCCTTCCCCTTCCCCTTCCCCTTTCCCTCTTCCCCCTTCCTTCTCCTGCTCCTTCTTGAGACAAGGTCTCACTATATAGCACTAGTTGGCCTGTAACTCATTTGTAAATGAGGATGGCCTCAAACTCACAGAGATTCTCCCTCTGTTTCTGCCTTCCACCTGTTGGATTATAGGTGTGAGTAATCACACCTGGCTAATGGTTTCAGTCAGTTTTGTGTATCTTTCCAAAATTTCTTTATATATAACACTTAAGGATATCTGCTTTCATTTTTTTTTTACTATTTTATACTTAAACTATAACATTTGACAATTGCTTTTCTGAGCTTTGTTATTATGTAGCAATATGTTTGGATATTTCTGTACCATTAGTAAAAATATGAAACATAGCCAGCTCTCAACCGAGAACGTGTTAAACATTCTTCCACGTGGCTTACATATGTTACTAACTTGTGAGAATGAACAGTACTGTTATATAAATACTATTATCCTGAATTTATAGGTGACTGATGATTTGTTCAGTTTTAGCCATGTCACTTTCTCACCAAGACTTCCCCTCTTCACGTCAGGTACATTACTCCTCCTCATTTTTCCATAGCATTTAACACATCGGAAGCTATTTTGTTTAATTGGTTCCTTCTCGATTACCTTCTTGACCTAGGTCCTTGAGATAAGCTCTTTGATTGACTACACAATAGCCCTTCGTCTCATATCTAAAACAATCATGAAGATTTGTTGTGTGGATGGATGGATGGATGGATGGATGGATGGATGGATGGATGGATGG